TGGATGTAAAATAATAAACAAGGATAAAAGTTTATGCAGAATTAGAAACATACACAAGTAAATGGTCACAAGTGGCGACAAACACTTGTCCGTATGGATCGACACCAAAATTATGTCCTCCCCTTAAAGTTGTTCCTTGCAAAATTTTAGGTTCAGTTGCATTTATTTTACACTCAGGACAATACCATGAACCGTCTGGCATATGCATCTTGTTCAGTCCTAAGCATCGTGAGTGGTATGATGATGGGCACCCATCACAGCAAATCAGCAATCCATCCATGCCACAAATAAGACATTCATCACCATTACCATCGTCGTCGTCGGGACTCCCAACTGGTTCACCTACTTGAGTAGAAAGACTGCCAACAGAATAGTTAATCTTACGATGCTCTGCATTACTCGTTATTGCTTCTCTATTCTTCGATGCAAAGTTTTTAGAGTATCTAGGATGGACTCTTCTAGATCCACCAGTAGGTTTGACCATTATACTTGAATCCATGTCTATTCCGACTTCTGATTCTTCGCGCATATCGATTTCGTCTCTTAGCTCTTCAGAATCCAGAACATCATCACATAAAATCTGCAAAACTATTAATTTTTTTCCAGCTGATAAAGTGTAATAATCTCTCTCCAAGAAATGGGAACAGACTTCTTTCCAGTCAGCTCCATGTTTATAGCCCATCACCACTAGATAGTGGACCAAGTAGACTGGCCAAGTTATGTTGTCAAGCAAGCTCCAATCATGGTACCTACAAGCAGACAATAGAAACTTTACTATGCAAAAACTAAATGTCGATTCACGGAATTATAGCACCAAAAGACAAGCACACAGCCTAACGCAACAATTTTACGATAATCATTGTCGATAATTTGAAGATTTATTTATCATACAAATATAAACACTGCCTATATTGCAATTTCAAGATTCTGGTTATAATACCATGGTAAAGTATATAAAAGATCACCAAGACTTGAAACTGGAAAACACTTTTAAGTGTGCACAACTTCAGCCCTTACATATGAAAGATGATTTTGACCTAGACCCCAAACCAAACTCACGTGTGATCAGTAGGAAAGCAAAATCAAGAATTATACACCCATGAAAAAATTAGTGAAGTACCTCATGCATTTTACTGCAAGTTCCGAACCACATGATGAGAGCCTCTCGATATGGCGCTTCAAGACCCGCAATAGAGCAACATGAACAGAATCCAACAATGTGTTTGCAACAGAGCAATTGAGTGCCCCCACAAAATCATCTAATCCAAAAGGGTACAGGTACAGCGGAATGCTAAATGAACGCAGGAAACTATGTACAGAGAGAAGGTGAGAGACATACTCCTCCGGAACACCAATATGCCCAGAAGAAGGAGGCAACTCTGGCGGTGGAGCTAGGGGCTCTTCGATGTCCATACTAGCATCCCGCTGTCGAGCATCTTCACATGAATCACTCGAAGAATCAACATCCGCATCAGCATTACCATTATTATGAACCTCCAGTACTACATTTCCACCAGCTTCATTGTTCTTGCTCGGTTCACTCAGTAATGATGAATCAACCTGATTCCCATTTGCCAGCTCGGGAACCTTTTCAACTTTCAAAATCTCTGTCTTAACATCTTTACATGACAATAAAACGTCCAACTTCTTTTTCCTCTTAGATAAATCACCAACTAAATCACAATCTTCCACCAAAAACACCTTAATTTCGGTACTGTCCAAATCCTCAAAATCCCCATCCTCATAGCTTATTCTATACAAACCTGAATCATAGGACATAATTTTTCCCAAGAACACCCCGCTGTCTTGAACTCTTTCATCACGTATCTTCCCACAAGTCTCAACGATCTTGTATCTACCATCTTCCTTTTGCCATTGCCATCCACTGTCATATTCTGTACATCAGCATTTTTTCGTTTTCTCCCCCGGCGCCTCTCAGGCTGAACCACCATAGACTCCATCCTACCACCAACAGTGAACTAATCGCCCAAAGTAAGCCCTAAATCTAATCCAGCATCTCAGCTTCTTCTTCCCGCAAATACGCAAGAACAGTGGTCTCTCCAACCAACCCTATAGCATTCAAAAAAAAATCTCAGCGCCTTCAAATCTCGTTGGACGCTATAATAAAATCAAAATTGAAAGGCAAGCAAATAACATAAAATCACGAAATGAAATTTAAGTGCCGTTCTAGATCCGCAATTAAAATTCCGATGCAAAATCGCAAACAGGCACCAAAAAAAAAGGGGGAAAATTAAAGACACGTATAATTGCGAAAAAACTTACCAATAAATCAATTGGATTCCGATGCTGATGCGATCAACATTAGGGTTTCGTGTTCGTCCGCGTCTCTGCGTGATGGTACAAGACTAGCGACGAATGAATGCGTAAAAACGAATGGACAATAACTTTTTTGTCGATTTACTAATGAAAATCCGCCATTGAAGAAGAATCGAGATAAAATGAGAGACCAAAATATAGAGAGAGAGAGAGAGAGAGAGAGAGAGAGAGAGTGGAGTTGATGTGATAGGGGGATATGGTAAAATAGCCCTAACCAAAGGCTTCGCCACACTCGTCTGTTTTTGTGTCGTACAGTCTCTGCATCTTTTGGATAGTAGGAGAGAAATTACTATTTGAGTCGACCCGAAACTCGTCCGAGTCCAAAAAATCCCCCAAATTAATAAATTAGGGCCAATATTTTATGAATTTTGGTTTTCCAACATTATTTTAGAAATTATGATAAAAAAAATTAACCTATACAAAATAAACAATTTGAATTTAATTAGTAAAACATATTGATGATCTGAATTTAAAAATATAAAATTATATATACTTCAATGGCTGAAATCTACAAACATATTTAGATGATAATCGAAGAAATTAATATTTTACTGAAGGGAATATTATTGCATTATTATATAAATTAAATATTTTTTTTTTATATTTGTTCTAACAATAATCTTTTTCAAAATACTATATAGAAAATAGTATATTAATATATATAAAGTTTTAAATAATAGATTTCAAAACAACTAATGCTCATCCTTAAATATATATTAAAAATAAACAATGGGAATTTTGGAGCAAAAAAAAAGAGGTTGATGCCTGGTGAGTTGACCCAGCGAGTACGGGTCAACTCGGACACCTTAATATGATATAAGCTTCAGCTTTGTAATTTAGGACCTTTTTATCTATTTATTTAGCACTCTAAAAGGGGAAGAAAGTAGTGCTAGTGAGAAAGTGGCGGGAAATAATTCTGCAGTAATTCTTGTGTCCCCGCCAATAATAAGATTATTTCAAAATTTTAGAGCATGAAATATATTTATTTAATTATATCATATATACTTGGTTTGAACTATTTACATATATACTTGGTTACTTTGAACTATTTAACTACCAAAGTTGGATTTCTATTTCCTTTCGTTAGATGCTTGCAGAATAATTAATTACTACGCCTAATATTGAATCGCAAAATATCACAAAAGTGATAACGTCGGGTAACGAGATCTCGAAAAATATGTAGTGATCGTGTACATTTTGAAACGCGTTTAATGTCGTAGATATGAAATTCGTATACACAACGACATATGGTGAAATTGATTCGTATTTTTTATTTTAATAATAATCAGTTTAAAATTCTCCTGCGTCTGTAATTTTATTCAAAGTATTGTAAGTGTCCGTGATATATATATTTATATATGGGGTTTTCTTAATTTTTTTAACCATCAACCTAATATTTATTCTAGGATGCTAACGAAGCGGTTGTTAGATAAAATTTGTAAAGACCGAAAACTCACTCTAAAACTGTGCATATAGGTGATCTAGTTCGAACTATCTTGGCAACACCTTATAATTCTAGCTTGTCATGCATAACATGCATCTAATATGGTTTACATTTCTCAAGTGGTTTCCAGGATTTATCACGACAGCGGAGATGATCAAATGCACTTACAAGACTGGTTGTGGATTCTTTTATTTAAAAAATAAATAAATTCTCATTCTTTAAAAAATCGCAGAAAAATTCATGATCGTCTTAGGTTTATGTTAGAGGGTGTTTGGCTAGCTTATAAGATGTTAAAAAGAACTTATAAGATGTTTTAGAGCTTACAAGTTCTTCCAAAGTGTTTGGTAATTTTCTAAAAAAAGATCTTAATTTTTGTAAATAAGTTGTTGAAGAACAAATAAGTTTTTTTTTATAAAAAGTATCTATACCGCAAGTCCGCAACTTTTTATTTAAACTCTTATAATGAGTAAAAATAAAAAATAAACTCATTATCCAAACACTTTAAAAATTAATTCTAAAAATAAGATGTAATATCTTATCAGCTCTTAAATCATCTTATCAGACACAAGAGCTTATCGGTTATTTAAAGGGTAAATTCCACTTTCCCCCCTTGTAATTTGGCTCGATATCACTTTATCTCCTTCTACTCTCGATTGCATCGATTTTTCCCCTGTACTTGAAAAATTGTCTCAATGGGCCTTCGCTGTTAGTTGTCATACATTTGACCTTAACACCATTTGATCTAAGTTTGAAAATTACATAAATGCCACCCTCCCAATTTAAATAATTATTAAAAAAATAAAAAATAAATTGTGGCTAGTGTCGTGGACTATATTTTCTTGTTGAATTTAATTTTTATCATTTTATTTATTTAATTTTTTTTAATAATTATTTGAACTGAGAGATGTGGCGTTTTTGTAATTTTAGAGCTTAGATCAAGCGGTGTTAAGGTCAAATGTCTGACAACTAACAACGAAAGCGACATCAAGACAATTTTTCAAGTACATGAGAGCGAATCGATGCTATAGAGAGTAATGGAGAAATGGAATTTACCCTTATTTAAAATAAACTTAGCCAAATGGGCCATTAGTCCTAAGCCCAGATAAACCCACCCCGAACCGGTCCAATGGTTCAAGAGGCCCTACGTGATTACAGAAATTGAGGCCACTTATATTTTTAATATTAAATAAATAAATAAAAATATTTTTTTTATAATATTTTTGTAATTAGATTCATAAGACAGCAATTTTGCCCGTTAGTTCATTACTTTTGGGTGCCGAAGAAGTACGATTCATCGTTGTTTGGTGTTCACAGGAGGACGATGAGCTCAGAAAAGGAAGACGCCGCCGCGCCACGGCGGCGATTATCCTGCACCAAATACTTCGACGCCCTTTGGTTTTGCTATTGTAAGCCGCAGTTTCCCCCCTTTCAAGTTTCCTTCCGTCTAATACATGATTAGTAGTGCTTAATTGATTTCATTACTATTCATAGATTATCAACAAACCCTTGTTTTCTATGAGGCTGTACATTGTGAGTTTAGCATAATTCGTCCTGGATTTATTGCAGTGTTCTGTTTCTCGATTGAATTATCACGCACACCAAGTGTTCGATAATATGTCTAGCTTGCGTTGAATATCTGCTTGCTTAGGTTAGTTACCATCGAAATTGATTGGGTTTTTGATTTTGTTGCAGCTCCAGTCCATCAGTTGCAGCAGTACTATCGGCTTGGCGCCCTCGACAATTGCGGCGGAAAATTTGCTGCTCTTTATGATTGTTTAAGTCTCAAAACCAAAAGAGCTTCTGAAATTGAGGTGCGTCGCTAAAAAAATTTCTTCGATCACTTGTGTTTTCACGTAATTTCGATCAAGGGGACAAGTATAATTTAGACATTTTATGGGTTCTGTTAAAAGATCTAACCGACTGTTAGTTTGAGGGGACAAATATAATTTTGCAAACACGAAGGGTTATTTCGTCGTTAGCCTTGGTGTGTGAGCTGTTCATTATTTACGCTAAATTTTAATTAACGAGAGGATTTGATTATCTTCAGATGCTGTGATTCAAAGGTCACATGTGTCTGAGATATGCTTGTCATCAAAATCGATAGGAAGTCGGGTCTTGATGCTGATGCTTAGATGTATTTGTCTCGGGGCGATAGATATATTTCTCGTGACATAACAAAATTCTCCAAATACCATCGCCATTTTCTTCTAAAGTTCCGTCAAATGTCACATTTCTAAAATGTATTTTCTTTTCATTGATTTATGGCATCTGCGGTATTTCACAAGTAGACAGCCAAAATACGCACGTAGAGTTTGTTAATGTTCATATATAATAACAATTAGAATTTATAAATAAATGCAGGAGATTTTGGAAACTCGTGAGAAAGCACTTCCTCATATATGGTCTTTTCGGTCCCCAAACGAAGCGAAATCCCATTGGCAGGAACTCTTCGGACATTTGGATGAGGAGGAATAAAAGTTTCTACGCTTGCGAAATTCTTTTATCTTCTTTAAGGTAGTTTGTCTGCCATTGGTGTAAGTTCTCAACTAATTATTTGAAAAATAAAAATAAAAATATTTCCCCAATTGGTCGGGATGGCAAATGGTATACGATTTCTTGAACTGTCGACCCCGTATTTTTCTTTCTTCGAGAATTACCGTTTTAATTTGTGAAAAATACATGACTTGTTATTGCGACAGATTATGCATTTTTTGTTACTATAAACTTCAAGTATTAATTTAATTTATATGTATAAATAAACATGTATGGAGACCATTTATTTAGTTTATTTCATGTGATTGATTACATTTATAATTTATCCCATGTTGTTAATATAAAAAATTGAATATTGTAATCGACGATAGAGCTAGATTTTGAGAAGAAGAAATATACGTTACGATGGAGCTACATTTTCAAAATTCAATGTAAATAAATTTGAAATTCAAATTAGACAACTGTAATCGATGAAAAAATGATCATTACTGCAGTCCCGTTTGCTCTATAACGTATACTTTCATAGACGTGTTGGTATTCAATTCGAAGTTTTAACAATCTACGATAATTTAATTCAAAATCGATAATATCCAACCCGTATTACTATCATTTCCTATAAATAAATTTGAAATTCAAATTATACAACTGTAATCGATGAAAATTTTATCATTACTGCAGTCCCGTTTGCTCTATAACGTATACTTTCATAGACGTGTTAGTAATTCAATTCGAAGTTTTAACAATCTACGAGAATTTAATTCAAAATCGATAATATCCAACCCGTATTACTATCATTTCCTATATATGACTATAATATTGATAACATTTTGACTAAACAATGTATTATTTTCTTTCAAAAATTAGGAATTTTAATTTAACTTCCAAGCGATAAACTTTTTTTTTTCCTATTAGTTTTTATTATTATTATTAATTTATTAAGAAATGAATATACCAAAAGGGGAAAAAAGAAAGAAGAGAAAAGCAAATTACTAGCTCTTTATTTGTAGCACAAACACATAAATAATATATTCCTATAAATAAATATTTATACATATTGTTCTTTAATTTTAAAACTTGCTTTTTTATTTCTTGAAATTTTGAAAAGACTTTAATTTAATTATTCCACGTGTAAAATGATTTTCTAAACCCTAAAAAAAGACAAATAATATCTAAAAGGGCATTATTGGAATTTCGTGTAAAAATCTTCCCTATAAAACACACACACTCATACAGAAAGAGTGACCAAAATATCATAGGACTACTCTTAAAACTGCAAAGAATCTTCCCATTTTGCTTATTCTGCAATTTGCATAGAGAGATTAATACTTTCAATCAGTTTACCAACACACACTTGAACACACATTAGTATGTGTTCTTGTTATACAATTATTTATTATTTGCATGCCACTTTAAATGCTTTATGAGTGTTAAATCTTGTATTTGTTTCCTTTTTCTATTTGTTATCATTAACAAAAGGTTTGTTTTTGACGTTTTTAAGACCGGCAAATGGAAAATCTATACGCCGAGAACACCATTTCGCATCATGTGACGTCGGTCGCCGCTGTGGAACCTGCAAAGGTGGTGGAGGTTTCCGTAGAGGAAGAGACGTTGGAGAAGGCTGGCGGCGATAAAACGGGTAAATCTACCGCTTAGGGATCCAAAATATAATGGGGACATATATCGTAATTTCTAAAATTTTGGAAGGGCGTTTTAGTAATTTTAAATAAATTAAACCTATGAATAAGTAGGATTATGTAGAAAAAAATAGTCGTACAAGTAATAATTTCTCTTTTAAATTAGCGTTTTCGTCATTTCGATATCTGCATTTATAACAAGAATTTCTTAGATTTTAATATTTTGCTAATAATATTTTTCAAAGATTTGGACTAAAAACTAATACTAATTAATATTTGGTTTTGAATCTTTTTCGATTCTTTCGTTGTTATGGATGAATCGAAAACGATTTGAAAAAAAAAAAAACTGTGAAAATCAATATACTAATTGGTTATTTTTTTACATGCTTCTATAAATGTTTAATGAGTGTTAAATCTTGTAAACTTGTTCCATTTTTCTATTTGTCATCATCTTTAACAAAATGTTCATTTTTGATATTTTTAAGACCTATGCGCTGAAAACACCATTCCGCATCATGCGACGTTTGACGCCGTCGCAGAACATGACGAGATGGTGGAGGTTGCCCCCGTTGTCGCAAAGGAAGAGACAGCGGA